TAATTATCATGACGATTGTACGGATTTCTTCTGAAAATGTACGGATTTTTGTACGGATTTGTTCAAAAAAGTTTTGGCCACCCTGTAACATGGATTCAGAAAAGTACGCTTTACACTTGGTTTGGAGAGGGTTTAAATAGTACACTCTTTCAAACGTTTTAGCCTTTTGAATGTTACGCAAAAGATTTTTATCATCTTAAGGAATATAAAAAATGTACTGAAGTTTTTGGGATGAATTTAAAAAATTAGCATGTCATACTTAAGTAAAGGAGTTGAGTTTTTGCCACAAACTCTGATTTTCAAATCTCTTTATCTTTGTAACCCAAGGTCGTAGACCTTAGATATTTCAAACTATAAATACTTATAGATAAAATAATCTAAGTTTGAAATATCAAAGGTTTACACCATCAGGTTGCAAAGATATGGATATCAGAAGATTTGAGTTTGTGGCAAAAACTCAATTCCTTTCACGTAAGATTGAAATCTTATATGTTTTAAATCGAAAAAGTCATCTCATTGAAGAATTATTGTACATTACAAAAATGTTTGTGGATTTCAAAGATGTAAACGGATAATTTTGATATTCTCATATTTGTAGTAAAATCAAAACTAGTGGAGCTGCGCGGTCACAAAATGATACCATTAATGTCATTGACCTTTTCCTTCTGTCTAGTTTACAATTTCGGCATGAGTTGCAAATGCTAAAGTACAGCAAAACAAAAATGACGCGTTTTCCACGTGATCCGCCATTTTGAAATTTAGTAAAAATATTTCAGTATGCGCTGGAAGCTGCGCAAAGGGCACGGAAGAAAGAAACCTCGACAGTTTGGTTTCAGAAAACCTGGGACCAGTACGAGAATGATTTTGTTTACAAATCGAAAGGTGAGTCAAGTAATCATGAAGAAAAAACTTTTTGGATCTTCTACTAAAACTAAAAACATCAAGTTTTAACTAAATAGAAATTCGAAATATGATGATGAAAGTTGGAAAAATATTTTTTTATTTAAGAGGTACAGGGTGTCCCACATCATATATTAGATCGTCAATCGGTCTAAATTACGATTTTCGGGACTTATCAGAAAATTTAAGAAGAATAAATCATTTTGAAAAATTGAATAAGACTAATATAAGAATGTTCTTCTGGAAAATAATAGTTTTTTTTGAGTATTATGGTTTTATTTTGGTGTTAAAGCTTGGAGATAATCTAATATGATAAGGGACGCTCTGTGTATTGGTAAAGTGCTCGATATTGATATAGAACATTTAGGCAAAATCTAAATTCCATCAAAAAGGAGGGATCAAGATTTAAATAATACTGTTAGTGTTTAATTATTGTTGCTAATTTTTATTGTTATCTTAAGGTACATATTGGAAAAAGAAACAGGAAAAAAACTGGGAACCAACTCAAATCTTTGAATGGAACGATGGAACCCCTCCATAGCAACCTTAGGAACGCGTTCCAGCTCAAAGCTACAAATGGAACAATGGAACCCCTTCTAAGGAATCTTAGGAACTAGGAACCAACTGAAATATATGAATGTAATAATGGAACCTCTCCTAAGCAACTCTAGGAACTTGGAACTAATTTAAGGATTAAAATGGAACACCTCCTGATCAAAAAAAAATTTTTAAAATGGAATATCAAATATTTATTTATGCAATTATTACTTCGAAAAACAAAAACATACCACATTTTGTTTTTTTTTGACTCAAAATATTGTTTTTTTTTAAATTTCAATAATTTAATCATAGTTTATAAATGTGAATAGCTATATATATAGTTGTATAAGAGTAAAGGCGAAATTACGCGAATCATAAAAATAAGTCTGAATCTTGATTATATAAGTGTTAATCTTTTCGTGAGGTTTTTTAAAATAATTGTCAAGTTTTGATAACGTGTGTCTTACTAATAAATCCTAAAAAAATATTTTAGATTAACAGAAATTGTAAGATAATAGAAATGAAATTTTAAAAACATACCGTTTTTTCATTTTCCGAGTTTAAACAATATAAATATTTTGTTGAACGAAATTTTATGTGCAGAAAAATATAAAGTTATTGATAATAATAATATTCATAATAATAATAATTTTAACGATACTTATATATAAAAATAATGAATATCATGATATTAATAACAATATTTGAATTATAGTAATGATGTAATAATAATGTAAAATAGATATTTGCCAATTATTTAAAAGTTTATCCTTAAAGGGAAAAATAAAAGGAGATGTATGATGAAACTTGAGAATCACAGACGTTAAACGATACATATAAAACATCTATCTGATGTTCCTGTCTCGAGAACTGTGTCAAATTTATAGGAAAATTCATATATATGCAATTTTGTATAAAGGTTGTAGTATGAAACAGATCATATCCAACAAATACGCAACCAATCTGAAAATAGATGTCTTATAGGTATCGTTCAACTCCTGAGATTCTCAGATTTCAGCCAATACCCCCTTTCATTTTTCCTTTACTGTCCCTTTAAAGGATAAGAAATGAAGATCTGGAACTTATTTCTTTCAAGAAGATTTATTTTCCTTAACTTAATAGAAGATAAGGGACTGTAGACGTAATTTTAAGTGATCTGCTATTTATTAACTGGCATGTTAGTTTCACAACGGTACCCAAACCTTTATTTTAGTAAAATTGAGGAAGATATCCTCGCTTTTCCATCTTGAAATTCTTCTTCATTGTCTCTGCAACATAAATGCGCAAGTACCTTTTATAGAAAAACCCAAACAATAATAATTCTACTTCATCCTCGGCCAGAGAAAGGTCGAAAGGGTGCAGGTGTGAATCGAACGAACGACTCTATATATATTTTTGAAATTAGGTCTTATTCCCTTTATTTTGTTTAGGTATTCGAAGAAATATCTTCCAAACAAACTTTGAATTAAAAAGAAAAGTTGTTTAATCTGAAGTCAAAACTTTTTTGTTGTTAATCAAGCATCTTATAATGTTGTCTGAAGGAAAACATTAATTTCTCTTACATACAAGATTAACCATAAAGGATGAGACTGCAAAGACGACCCAAAACGCTTTAAATATGACAATTTAAAGTTTGGTTTTAGTCTCTGTCTTCATTTAGTTGTTAGATAATGTATTAAATGATTAAGCCAATAAACAATCCAGTTTTGGCCAGCAAAGAACCCTGAATGTATGAAAATGAAATAAACAAATTCCGTAAAATTTGTTTCTCAAACTGTGTGGGTAACCCTGTATCCGGTGGTCGGAAGCTAGCAGGGATATCTATGAATAAAAGAATCAGACACTAGTCCCTTAAATTGATAGTTTCTTGAAATTAGGTCTCAGTCCCTTTATCTTGATAAGGTATTCGAAGAAATAAATAATTTTACGCTTGCAAACAAACTTTAAAATAAAAGTTGTTATTTTGTTGTTAATCAAGGCTTCGTATCGTCGACCGTAGAATGAGATTAATTTCTTTTGGAAAATCCCTAATATAGATAAGGTATATAAATATAATTAATTATAGTGTAACAGTGGGCGAGTTTTGTTGATCTTTTACGATCAGCAATTCAAGGAATGATTTGATTAACATTATTTAGTTTGTATAAGTGAAACGATGAAAATGAAAATGTAAAATGTCTCCTGTTTGATAGAACCGATTAGATTCATAACATTCAGTTTGTATTAGTATCGTTCGATTTAAAGTTTGTATCCTTTGTATATAAATATATTGTAAGAAAAACCGACTCGTGGAATATTTGAGAAACTCAGTGCATTGCGTTATTGATTTTTATTCATATACTATAATAGATATATAAACTAAAGAATCAAGCAAAAGTCCGTCTATATAACTGGATATTTCACACAAAAGTTTTACCTCTGAGTTAAATATAAGTATATAAATTAAAGAATCAAGCAACAGTCCTGTAAAGGAATTAAGTCTTACCCACTAATTCAAATTTTCTAATCCCTGTATTATTGCAACCCGATGGTGTAAACCTTAGGCGCCTTGATCTAACATAATTCAAAGTTTGATATATCAATGATCTTTAAGAACATTGGGTTGCAAAGAGAAAGGGATTATAAAACCAAAGTTTGTGGCACACACTTGCCATTTCTTTAAAAGTTTTGACCTCTGAAGTCTCATGCTTTGTGGGTATCTCTGTATAATAAAGATAAAATTAAACCGATTTTCTAAATAAAATTCCTTACTTATCTAATTATAATTATAATTGAAGGGCTGCAGGAGTAGAGATATGTATGTATAATTCAGCCTCCGGACTTTTCATTAATAATTGGATTCATGTCTATTATTACAGTTCCCCACAGGGTGTCCCACAAAATAGGAATATTAAATACAGTTTTATACAGGGTGCCCCACAAAATAGGAATATTAAATAATTACAGTTTAATACAGGGTGTCTCACAAACATAAATATTAAATAATTACAGTTTAATTCAGGGTGTCTCACAAACAAAAATATTAAATAATTACAGTTTAATACAGGGTGCCCCATAAAACATAAATATTAAATAACTACAGTTTAATACAGGGTGCCCAACAAAACATAAATATTAAATAATTACAGTTTCATACAGGGTGTCCCACAAAACATAAATATTAAATAATTACAGTTTCATACAGGGTGTCCCACAAAACATAAATATTAAATAATTACAGTTTAATACAGGGTGCCTCACAAAACATAAATATCAAATAATTACAGTTTCATTCAGGGTGTCCCACAAAATATAATATTGAGTGTTTACACCTAAGCATTAATTAAAAACAATATAATTGTATATGTATAAAAATATCTATACCTTCTAACCTATCTAAGAACATTTCCGTGGTTCCGAGGTTCTCAATTAGAATTTGAGCCAAATCGGTCATGGCGCTCCTAAGTTATGATCAGACAGACAAACAGAGATCACTTCTTTTTATATATAAATCTTTTTAAATTCCAGGATGAGGAGAATGGGATTCTCCCTTAAAAAAAATATGTCGTTAAAAGCAGTGACTTTAAACAGTAGTTTGAAAATCAACTAATTTAGTGAAATGGGTGTACACTGCACAACTTCACTTTTGAATGCTCATAAGACTATTTAAATCATATTTTGAGTCTTAAAGTCGTCTTTCTGTTGAATAACCAATTATAATTGTAGATATCGGAGGAAAATAATGTTTTAAAGACCCCCCCCCCCGGGAATAAATCAATGAGTTTTTTCAATATTTTCACCTGAAAAAAAGATATTAATTAATAGATTTTCTTGTTAAGTTTAAACATGTTTAAAGATAAATTACCAGTAAACCTTAATTCAGTGAAAATCAAGACTCAGTGATCATTTTCTTCTTTATTCTTGTAATATTAATAATTTATCAACCATTCATGTAATAGGTCTTGCATATGTAATGTTAGTGGTCTAGATAAAAATTGTGGGGCTTGGATGTTAAGCATGAAGATTTTTCCTTATTCTCCTAGAGAAAAAAAATTATTGTTAATAATAACATCACCATTTTCATTTTATTTTCTAGCCTATAAAAATAAAAGTCTTGATTGCTTGAATTAATTTTTGGGATTAAACAAAGGACTTGCATTTGAAGAGTTAGTTCTTTGTAAATGTTTTCCATTTTATGACAGAACATAGTAAAAGCTCTTTAGAATAAAAAAAATCCTAGATTAAAGTTATGTATGCACTGTTTTCATTTTTAAAATCTTTTGTTAAATTCAAGTTTGAATTTTGAAAACAAACTTTATCTTATTTCAGATGGGATAGCTAAGACACAAGAAATAATGTCGAGAGAGTGTGAGATGAAAGAAGAAACAGTTTCCATCGAGGAAGAAATTCTTCCAGGTTCTACTGCAGAAGATACAGTTTATGTACAGGGAGAAAACATGAAGATGGAAAGTAAGCCAAAAACCACAACTAATTTATGAAATAATCTTTATTGTTTTCTCAAAAAGCATCAATTCTAAAATTATGTACTCTGAACACTGAACACTTAGGAACCGTATCTAGAAATATCTAATATAACAATAATTTATGAGCCTGGGAAATAATCATCATCATTGGAGAACTATTGGAGACCCTTTTATAGCTGAGACCCCGTCTCATCAGATACTCCTAGATTTTCATTGGAGACTCCAGATCTTCACTGGAGAGTGGAGAGAGTGGATCGTGTCCCATTAATAGCCCACAAGTTTTCAGTGGAGATTGCAAGATATTCACTAAAGGATCCTTTGATTTAGATATCCTAATTCAGATATCCCTATTCAGATATCCCTATTCAGATATCCCTATTCAGAGATCCCTATTCAGATATCCCAATTCAGATATCCCTATTCACAAATCCCTATTCAGATATCCCTATTCAGATATCCCTATTCACATATCCCTATTCAGATATCCCTATTCAGATATCCCTATTCAGATATCCCTATTCACATATCCCTATTCACATATCCCTATTCACATATCCCTATTCACATATCCCTATTCAGATATCCCTATTCAGATATCCCTTTTCAATTATCCCTATTCAGATATCACTATTCAGATATCCCTATTCAGTTATCCCTATTCACATATCCCTATTCAGATATTCCTATTCACATATCCCTATTCACATATCCCTATTCAGATTTCCCTATTCAGTTATCCCTATTCAGATATCCCTATGCAGATATCCCTATTCACATATCCCTATTCAGATATCCCTATATTTAAAAAAAATATTTAGTTCATATTTAATTATTTAAATTTTATTTTTTAGGTGATATTGAAATTGTTAATAATTCTGAAGAACCTCTTCACTCTGAACCAAAAAGACGCAAAAAGAAACACATGAAGAGTACATATGAAGGAATGAGGTATCACTGTGACCAGTGTGAATATATTGCCAATACTGAACCTAATCTAAGAAGACATATTGAGAGCAAACATGAAGTATTCAGATATCCCTGTGACCAGTGTGAATACGCTGCTACTACAGCAAGTGCTCTAAAGAGACATGTTGAAAATGTACATGAAGGAGTTAGATATCCCTGTGACCAGTGTGAATACGCTGCTGCTAGAGCAAGTGATCTGAAGAGACATGTTGAAAATATACATGAAGGAGTTAGATACCCCTGTAAGCAATGTACGTATAATGCCACTACAACAAGTAATCTCAGGAAACATGTTGAAAATAAACATGAAGGGGATAGATATCCCTTTGACCAGTGTGAATACGCTGCTACTGAAGTGAATAGTCTGAGGAGACATATTAGAAGTAAGCATGAAGAATTCAAATATCCCTGTGACCAGTGTGAATACGCTGCTACTACAGCAAGTTCTCTAAAGAGACATGTTGAAAATATACATGAAGGAGTTAGATACCCTTGTGACCAGTGTGATTACGCCGCTACTGAAATGAGTAGCCTGAGGAGACATATTAAAAGTAAACATGTTAAGGAGTAACATATTCATGTAATCATTGTGAATACGCTGCTACTCAAGCAGATCATCTGAAAAACATGTTGAAAATATACATGATGGAGTGAGATATCCCTGTGACCAATGTGTGTACGCTGCTACTTCCACAAGTCATCTGAAACAACATAGAAAGAGGAAACATAATAATTAAAGATTGCATATAAGGATTTGTTCTGCACTGTAAACACCTCAAGTTATTTTATCGTTGTACCTAAGATTTTCACTATACATTCTTCATCTTAGATCAATTATTTATTTGTAATTATCTTTTTTCACTTTCTGTTATTTCTCTTTATAATTTTCTTTTCTAATTACAATACAAGTAAATAATAACAATCAGCAATAATATTGATATTAATAATAATATTCCTCCCCGTACCGTTTCTTCTTTCTATATTTCATCTTTGTTATTCCTCACATCTGTTCAGACACTATTACTATTATTTAACCCTGAAAATAGTAATATTACTAAACCTATTTTTTCAGATAGAATGACAGAGAATGTGAAAGAAGAATTGATTATGGAATAAATAAAGATAAAATTGAAAAAGTTTTCATCTATTAGTATAGAGGAAACATATACCAGGATCTGCAGGCCGGAAGATGATGTTAAGAAGGAAAATGCAGAAAATAAAGATAAAGATGATTATTATGGAGATCAGAATTTTTAATGTGTTCTCCATTTTACATTCATTATCCATCATCTGAAGATGTTGTGGTTTACAACCAAATATATTTTGGAGAAAATGACAGTTGTTTAAAACCTAGAGTGATAAGTTTACATAGTTAAAAAGGTATTATTATTTTTTCGAAAAAGGGGGGGGCACAATACTTCCCCCCCATACAGAAATGGTCTTGTGCGCCCCTGTATATACCCATCAGGTTACGCCATAAAGCATTCTGAACATTATGTCTAATTTAACCTTAGAGAAAACTAGGATATTGTGTTTGTTTGTTTGTTTGTAAACGGATTCCTTGAGTTTGGATTGACAGGATAGGATAGGTTAGTTTCGTGCACAGATCAGATATAGAATAGGCGCGTGCACATGTCAAGATATCATTGATCAAGCTCCTTTCAATACTGGAGAATAGGAATTAATCCTAGTTTCCGGCAGAATCTTATAGATTCTTGAGGACATCTTTATAAATGTTTATTTAAAGAGACTGTAAGCGTAATATCAAGAAACTCTCCATATACAGAATGGTATGCCCTATATTCACAGTTCAGTTTCTCATTACAAATCAAATATTTTCAATTGTTGAGTCTCTATTAAAGAGACTGTAAGTGTAATATTAAGAAACTCCGTATACAGGGTGGTATGTCCTATATTCACAGTTCAGTTTCTCATTACAAATCAAATATTTTCAATTGTTGAGTCTCTATTAAAGAGACTGTAGGTATAATATCAAGAAACTCTCCATATACAGGATGGTATGTCCTATATTCACAGTTCAGTTTCTCATTACAAATCAAAAAGAGAAGGTTTCTTTGAGCTTTAACAGGGTTTCTTCGATTAAAAATTTAATACCAATACCAGGGTTTTCAAATCAAAAACTGAATTTTTTTAATCAAAAACAAACTTCACTTTATCAAAAATTGGGTTCATTGGTTCTAAAATAGGACTTTTTTGATCAAAAACAACTCGGTTTTATTTGATCAGAAACATGGATTATTTAATGAACAACAGGGTTTATTTGAACAAAATGCAGGGTTGATTTAATTAAAAACTGTGTTTATCTTATAACAGGGTCTATTTAACCACAAATAGGGTTTTAAAATTTTTTTTTATCAAAAACAGGTTTTTTTGATCCAAACATGTTTTATTTAAATCAAAAACAAGTTTATTTAATCAAAATCAGGTTTTATTTGATCAAAACATGTTTTATTTAAATCAAAAACAAGTTTATTTAATCAAAATAAGAGTTTATTTAATCAAAATAAGAGTTTATTTAATCAAAATAAGAGTTTATTTGATCAAAAACAAGTTTATTTAATCAAAATAAGAGTTAATTTGATCAAAAACAAGTTTATTAAATCAAAATAGGAGTTTATTTGATCAAAATCAGGATTAACTTGATAAAAACATGGTTTATTTTACCAAAACATCGTTTTATTTCACCAAAAACCGGGGTTCTACCAATCAAAACAGGATTTATTTGATCCAACAGGGTTTATTTTACCAAACCCCTTGGGTTTATTTTACCAAATAAAACTTACCAGCTTCAAGGGTTTAAAATTTATATCTAGAACCATAACATAAGTAAAACCATTTTTATAGGTTCTTCACCTAATTCATGAATTTTTAACTCAAATCCGTACAATGTTTTTCTAAAAATATTCCCATAAGCGAAAATTATTTGTTTCTGTTGTCTTTCTTCTAAGGGTTTATTCACATAATTCATTCACCTTAAAGCTTAAAGTACATGAGATATTCATCGTTTCCTCTTTAAAAATTGTTTTGTTTTTTCAAATTCAGTTTCTCTTATAGTTTCTTGCTAAATCTGATGTTTTAGACCTTTGATATTTGAATCAAATATTTGTTTAGATCAAATATCAAAAGTTTACACCATCAGGTTGCAAAGATATGTAATCAGTTGCTTTGCCTTATATTCGAACATGTATTTAGATATTTGAAACAGGGGCGTACAAGGGAAGGGTGCCGCGCCCTGATGAGTCCACTTAAGGAAATTACATAAATGATTTATTAACGCTTGTTATATGGAAGTGTGTATACGGTCGAATAGTTTACATAGTTAAAAAAGGTATAAATATTTTTTCAAAAAAAGGTATTTTTAGGGGGGGGGGGGGCACAAAAGTTTCAAATCATTGTCAACAAGCAGTAAAAACTATCCTATTCATTTTGAAAAATAAAAATGTTTAAATCAGTCTAAATGTCTATATAAGGCGTGGGGTTAAATCAATGTGTGAGCGGAGTAGGAGGGGGGGGGGGGGCTGGGTACTTATGAGAGGTTATAGAGATGAGCATAGTTTTGTTAAAGAACGATTTTTTTTTGTTCAGGAAGATGGTGTTGTTCAGGAAGATGATGTTGTTCAGAAAGATCGTGTTGTTCAGAAAGATCGTGTTGTTCAGAAAGATGGTATTGTTCAGAAAAAAATACGAACGACTTGTATTGTTCAGAAAAATAAAAAAGGAACGAAAAAAACGAAAAACGAACGAATTAAAATCGTTCGAATGAACTTGAAAAACGATAGTCTTGTACTGATCGAACGTATTTTTTCAAAAGATTTTGAATAAAACGATAGTTTTTTACTAAACAAACGATTTTTTGGAACAAACGAAAGTTTATTAACGAACCATTTTTTGATTGAACAAAAACAAACTAACCTAATCTAATCACGAACGATGAACGAACAAAATGGATAAAGCCGAACGTAGGTATAATATCAAGAAACTCTCCATATACAGAATGGTATGTCCTATATTCACAGTTCAGTTTCTCATTACAAATCAAATATTTTCAATTGTTAAAGAAACTCAGTTAGACTATTAACATTCCGTGTAGTTCTAATGTAGCCGGAGGAACTCATAATCATACCATTTATAGTAATTATACAGAAAGATGAGCTAAAATATAAACCATATAGACAACCAATAGAGTTTAAGTAAAGAAACCTAATTATGCTCCAGGGTACAAGAGAGACATCCACACCTTGTTCAGCTCATTCAAACTTTACAAATATCAAGGGTTGAAACTTTTGAAAAATCTGCACAGCACCGGAACTCGAAATCCATTGTGGAAACTTTTAACTTAGCAATTACGTGCTGTTAAAGGGACTGTAACCACATTTTTAAGTGACCCTCCATGCAAAGATGGCATTGCCCGATTTACACCAGTACCCTTGAAACCTTAATCTGAACGAACTCTTATATCTGATTTGAAAAAGTGTTAATTTCTGTGAATTTCTCGTTTGTTTCTTATAAGCAACAAAATGCGCAAAAATAAATAGTTTAAATAAACAAAATCATGCATGCATCTAATTCTTACGTGATCAGACAAAGCTTTTAAGGGTTCCAATTATATATTGGGAATTGTCATCTTTGCATGGAGGGTTACTTGAAATTACGCTAACAGTCCCTTTAATTTTAGTCTGAGAAAACTCAAGTTCTAAATAGTATTATTAAAGGGGGAAGGCACAAAAAAGTTATTTTCTCCCAAATATGTCGTATTCCTTTATATTTTCAAACAATCAATATTTATTCAAAACATAGATAATTTTTTATGTTTTTTAAAATCAAAATACATTAATAAAATCAAAATACAAGCATGAATAATTTTTGTTGTTGAAGGATTCGATAAGAACGAAATGGCTGAAATGATAATTATGTTATATATTGTATTTGTTTGCATAATTTAGTATATTTTTTGTTTCTTTCATAAAATTATACTTTTGATGTTTAACATTATGTTAAAGTAGAAAATAAAAGTTTGCATTGTAAAATGCATTTAAACACAATATTAGAGGGTTTTTGACCAAAGATTCAAGTTGTCTAAATTGACTGGAATATTTCGCATTAGACGAGAAATATTATTAAAAAGATCATATGTTCAGTCATAGAAAGAATGTATTATCTTTATATATAAATCACGATATATCTATCTTTTTGTTGCGGTCTGAATCTGAAAATTGGATTTCCCACCGCTTTTTGCCTCTCTGTATCTATTTTGGCAAAATTAGAAAACGTCATGTGATCACTCAAAAAGTTTTCTTTGTGTTAAATTTTTAATTATGATTAATTTTTTTTAGTTTCGTTGAATTTTCATAATTCATTATCTACCTTTTAAAATATATACTCAGCTCCGTACTTTTTACGGTTCTGCAATAATAGCACAATATTTTATTTATACATGCTAACTAATCTGTATTGTCGCAACATAAAATCGTATTGGTAGACCAAATGTCTCTGTTGTCACGGATAATACAGGGTGTCCCACGAAACATGACAGTTGGTAAATAATTTGGTATGTCTTCTTCCCTATACTGTAATAGATATTATAGACTTTTTGCATTTTTTCGTTCAATAAAATCTTTTACTAAAACATATTTTACTTTGAAATCAATTTTACTATAATAATACTATTAAATATTCTGATAATTCTTTTTTTTGGTATTAAGTAATTATGAAAGTAGACATTTTGAATTATTCACCAACTGTCATGTTTCGTGGGACACCCTGTAGAAGAATAATGCGAAGGAATTAAGTCTTTGCCACAAACACTCTGCTTTTCTAAATCCTATATCTCTTTAGATTCCAATGTCGTGGACCTTAGATATTTCAAACTATGAATTCTGTTAGATCAAATAATATAAGTTTGAAATATCAAAGATTTATAACATTGGGTTCCAATGATATAGGAATTATAAAATCAGAGTTTGTGGCAAAGACTCAATTCCTTTGTCGCA